ATGAAATCATTGTTCAAATAGGGAAGAATACATGACGGTCAAATATAGAATGAGCAAATCGGATCGCACAACGTTTTTCGTGGACTTTCTAACATGAGCAAACATTAGATTAGTAAAACTAGAAATCACTGATTTAACATCTTCAACCAACATCCCAAATGAAGAACAATCCTCTCCTCCTTGATGAATACTTGTAATAACCTTAAGAAAATCAGACCCAATGTCAATGTCTTCCCAACCTACTCTTTCATCTACCTGATCTAGGCATCTCCTTTGTGGAGGAGATTGGCTTTGGCATTTGTTCGGAGTAACAAAAATGAAAGCAAGTTAAATTGATTCTTAATTTAAAGTTAAAGAACAATATTTAATAGACAATTTGTTTACTAACACATTTGTTTATTTTTTCAGAAAAAAGTCTTACCAAAAAATATTTCTCCCAGAATCCACATGATGAAAGTAAGTTAGGCATGATGAGTTCTTTGCTAAGCTATTTGTGTTTTCAATTAAGAGGTGCGTGACATACTGACATTTCGTATTTGCTCCTGCAAAAAATTGTTACATCACTTTGATTTCCATGGATTATGCACTGTATGCTTTAGTGTCTTAAGGTTTAATAATTTTAATTTGTTATCTTCACAAACAGATTGCATTGTAATTTGTAAGGTGTACTTAAGGTGACAGTTCGTTGTTGAAGAGATGATATTGGTACCCCTGAAGACATTTTCTAGTTTGATGTTTCATGTAGATGTTGATGTTCTCTTAAATGCTCTTCTGAAAAAAATCTTTCAGTCAAACCTCATGTCGTGTTGGATTGTATTCATAACGTTGGCACAACTTTTTTGGAGTGTTAATTGAACATTGATATTATTTCATGTCCGTAATTAGTTTTTGGTAACTAAACTTAGTTTAGAAGTTATTACTCGTATGTTTTAATTTTTGGAGCTTCATGCTTGCTCTTTGAGTGATTTAATTTAGTATTTCATCATAAAGACTGCAAAGATTTTACAAGATCTCGAGCTCGATCCCACGCTTGAGTTCACTAGCTTCATTATTCGAGCCAAACGAACCGAGCTCGAGCCTAACTTTTTGAGCTCGTTCGAACTCGAGCTCGAGCCACTGGAATTATTTTGAGTTAGAGTTCGATCCTACCTAAGATCGAGCTCGGTTCGGCTCGTTTACACCCCTATTTGCACCAAACATGTAGCATTCGTATTGTCATAATGTATGGTAAAATTATAATCCCTCCATATTTTAAAGTTTGCTAGACTTTTCTTTTTGAGATGTATTTAAAAGTTTAGTATACTTTTCTTTTTGGTAAATTTTCCCTTTAAAAATACTCGATTACCCTTAATTTTTCTATTTTTTTGTCTCTTTTTCATACTTGTACATATGTCCTTCTACTTTTTCTGCACTATTCGTTACTCTACTTTCCTCATTAAGTAATACTAGTATGTCAAAGCTTAGTGTAGCATTCTTTAAAATATAGACGATATTTATATTATTACCATGTTAGATTTACACATTAGCTCCATCTGTTTAAGCTAATAAAATCATATATAGTGCAATATGTCACTTTTTATAGAAAACATAGATTACTTACATTATGTCATTATCAAACATGACACATGCATTATATACATTATGTTCCCAAGGTGAAGACTTAAGTTTGAATTTCATTTCATTACAATTAAGGAGGTTGACATTATCATTGAAAAAAATACTACAAAAAATCATAAATGTTGTCCAAAAGAATTATATTAACTAACATAATAACCTTATTTTCACTAAATATAACTTCATTTGCATCAAACATTTTCATTGGCGCATACGTGTCTGATTTTTTTATAGTAAAACAAGGACGTTCAGATGTCAGTCGATCCCGGTTATATCTTTAACTATCTTCCTCTCGAATATTCAATCGAGGAGTATATCCAATTCATCGAGTGTAGTTATTAACAACGAGACCGTTCATTATTAACACCCCTCATTACTATTAGTCAAATATAGAACACCATCATATACCGACTTAATAGTAACATTTAATCTTTTCAACACCTTGATGAAATCAATTGAGATTGATAACCTCAACACAACGCGGTCTCGGTTTAACAAACACAATTAATCCCTCTTAAGCTTATTAACCACGACCATGCATTAATAACCCGAAGTTACTTACTTGTGAAACCATTGATGTTCATTGATCATTTCTAGTAATAATTAATGTCGAAGCGTTAACTAATCATAACTTAGCAACACCCCAACATTATTATAGAAATAAGATTAATGGAATAATTAATATTCAAGAGAAGAAGTTATGAAAATAACTCATAACTTAAACATTCAACAAGCTTGAGAAAAACCAAGAAATCAGTGTTTAGCTCCTCAGATGGAGACTAAACAATGCTAGAAAAACATAATTAAAAAATTACTATCTTAAGTAAAACTTAATTATAAGTATATGGAAGAAGGAATGAATATTATTGTGATGAAAAATTGTGCTATTTATAGGTGTTTTCAACAGTTTGGGTCGCATACCCGACCGAGTATAGATATATACTCGACCAGGTATCGGTCAAAATCGGATCAATCTTCCACGATGTTGTGTTTTCAGCACGTCTGTTTGTCCGGGTGAAATCATACCGGACCAGGTATAAGGCCGTACCCGTCCGGGTATTAGTCCAATTTCCTAGCAGCTTCATTTTTCAACTCATACCCGACCGTGTAAAGGTCATACCTGGTAGGGATCGGCTGCATCTATAGAAGCCACCATGACAACCATGCTTGTTTGATTTTTCGATCAGACCCCTACAAAATGTTTTCTTTGTTTTTTATTCCTGAAATTTATGTTTGATTTTCTTTTTAGTTTATGAATATTGATAACAACCTCCGTTTGACAACGAAACAACACTGACTAATAGGTTTCCTCTAATTGTTTGTCATGTTGTTAAAAAATAAATCTAATTTCATTTTAAAAGGATTTTAATACATATTTTTTAAAATGCGAATACGTAGTTTATATTATTTAAACTCTCATATTAGCCTAAAAAATATATAAAATGATAAGTTTAATTATTTCCAGTAGATTTATGCAACCAACATCAATTAAAAAAATCTAAGAAGAGTTGTTTAGGAGTTAGAGATAGACTAAAATCAAAATAACGCATAATACAAGGATGAAAAATAAAGCAAATATTTTGTAGAAATCTAAAACTAAATGTTATATTTGTAGAGGCTAAAATCGTATTTAGACCTATTTTTTGCACACTATTTTGTGTATGTGCACAACCAATTGGTATAAGTGTAAATTGAATGTGTACCTAGGATGTTTTTACCTGGACTGAAATTTGCTGGTATGGTTTGGTCTGGTCTGGTCTGGTCTGGTGTGTACTGAACTGGTCTGGTGTGGTCTGGTAAATGTTTGATCTATGTGTATTTTATAACTACGAAAGTCTGGTTTGGTCTGGTTTGGTGTGAACTGGTATGGTGCGGTCAGCTAAATGTCTGGTCTATGTGTATTTTATAATTACGAGAGTCTAATCTGATTTGGTTTGGTTTGATCTGGTTTGATCTGTTTAAATCTGATTTGATCTGGAAATGACTAAATGAATGTGTACCAAACTTTTGTCAAGAACGATTCATTTGAATATGGTCTTCCTCACCCTTTCAACAACTTTGGTATTCAGTATTAGGGTTGTAAACGAATCGAATCGAGTCAAATAATGAGATTTTGTATTTGTATTTGTTTAATTTTTCCAAATACAAATTCGAATTCAAATATGAAATAAATATTAATTTCGATTTGTATTTGTATTTGTTTAACAATACGAATACTAACGAATCATATACGAATATCGAATCGATTTGAGCATAGGTTGAATATTAGTCAAATGTCACTTTAAAATAACTTTTCTTATACAGTTATACTCCATACTTTTTTATGTTGTAAATGCATACTAAAGTGAATTGATTTATGATTAATAAATATAAATCTATTTCAAACTTTTTGAAATAAACAATAACACACACATATTAGAAATTATACTTATAATGTGTGAAATAAGTTGATAATTATATATATCAAAGTCAAACAACTCTAATATTATTCTTCAAATCGAATACATAATTATTTGTATTGTATTTGAAAGACATTTGAACAAAAAAATTGATTCGTATTCGTATTTATATTCTGTTTTATTACAAATGAGCTTGGAATCTATATGCAAATATGTATATATGAGCTACACTTTGAGGGTATTGCTCTCTTTTAAAAGTTTTTGTGGTGTTATTACTATTATTAATAATATTGATATTAATCGAATATATTTGATTAATATTCGAATCGAATACACTGATATTCTTATTTGTATTTTATAACAACTCGAATCAAAATTAATATTCTTATGGCAAAATTGATAGTAATAATCCCAACTATTGGCGGTCCGCTCAACAGTTGGTATTCAGTATTAGGGTTGTAAACGAATCGAATCGAGTCAAATAATGAGATTTTGTATTTGTATTTGTTTAATTTTTCCAAATACAAATTCGAATTCAAATATGAAATAAATATTAATTTCGATTTGTATTTGTATTTGTTTAACAATTATCCCAACTATCAATTATTTGTACAACATAATAATCCCAACTATCAATTATTTCAGAATAATCCCAACTTTAGAGACCTTCCGCCAATAATAGTCCCTATAAATAAATTCATGTAGTTTCTAAAGTGGATGAGAAAAGATAGAGTAAGTAATGCCTATAAATAATCTCAACTTTTAATTTTTATGCTTAATTGCTATTTAAAATTCACTTGTTTTAGAAGGTAATATCTGGTCATGGATCATTATTGGCGGATGGTTCATATAGTTGTGATTATACAAAAATAATAAATAGTTGAAATTATTGTTAGCCCACCGACAATAATTGGATTATTATTTTCAATTTTTTTTAATTGTATATGTATTTGAATTTTTCCAATTCTAATAGTCCCATTCGAATCCCGAATTTGATTCTTGGCAAGAGTCCGACCAAAAGAACTGAACGGCGGCAAAAACACGCCACTCCAATTTCCTCTGCGGCTGCTAAAGACAAGGATCCTTCATTTGTCGGCGCCCTATTTGCCTTTCCAAATGCTTTTTCATCTGTTCAAAGTCCACCCGCAGATCATGCATTCAGTAACCTGCCTTTTGACCGTCCCTCTTACCAGAATGGAGCTGCACGGCATTGAAGCAATTTGCTTGCAATGCCCTCTTGGGTCTCTTCCCTTTTTATCAACCAATAGGTGGAAAGCTGAAAACCACCAAGTCCAACAATCTCTTGTCATTGTAAAATCATTCGGATCACTGACTTACAATATTTAGCTTATACCGGCACTTAAGATGCTCTTTCGGAACTCAGAGGATTGCTTGGATAGTGTTTGAGAATATGATTCACTGAACTTTAACATCCTTTTCTGGGATAGAAGGCGTAGAACATAAGAATAAACAATCAAAGGGTAATTATTTTCTACCTGCTACAAGGGAGTGAAGATGGATGCAGCTCTGGCTATGGATGATATGGCAATGAGGAACCGCAGTAGAAGGAACTCGACTTCTGTAAGTCTTATGGAGATGTTTGCTGCATCAGGAAGAGATGTATTCCAGAGAATTGATGAGGAGAATGATAGTGAGGAAGACTTGAGGTTGGCTGCTATTGAGAGACTTCCTACATATGATCGATTGAGGAAAGGGATCCTGAAGCGAACCCTGGATGATGGAAGAGTTGTGCATCAAGAAGTTGATGTTCAAAATCTTGGGATGCATGACAAGAAGCTACTCTTGGAACGTATTTTGAAAGTTGTGGAAGAGGACAACGAGAGGTTCCTTCGAAGACTCAGAGATAGGATTGATAGGTGAGGCAAAAAAAATCAATATTCCATTCTTTCCCTGTATACACTTCACTATCTAATAATTGGCTTAAATCATGATAATAATTGTTTTTTCATGAATAGGGTAGGAATTGATATTCCGAAAATCGAAGTGCGATATCAGGATCTATCCATTGAAGGAGATGCATATGCTGGATCTCGGGCATTGCCTACTTTGTTTAATGCCACCATAAATGTGATAGAGGTTCTCCATTTATTTCAATGTAAATCCTGTTATGCTGGATTTACTTTTTCTAATTATTATATATTGGTGGAGCTTCTAATTTTTCTAAATGGTATAAGAACCTATTCTCATTATTTTCAGAGTTTTCTACAAAAGATAAGAGTTTTTCCATCCAAGAAAAGAGTAATCAAGATACTCTACGATGTGAATGGAATTATAAAACCTTCAAGGTATGTTCATAGAAAGCATTTGGCTAATGTGCGTTACTTTTATGCATATGTTTCTACTCATGTGGATAACTCTCTATGTGGTCCATATGGTAAACATATCTCCTTTTCACTCTACAGGATGACACTACTTCTTGGGCCTCCCGGATCTGGAAGAACAACATTCTTGAAAGCACTAGCTGGAGCATTGGACAAGGATCTCAGGGTACCAACCATCTTTATGAATTTTGGCATGAAATACTACTCTCATGTTTTTAAGGCACTAGTTCTTGATTTTTAATTTTTCTAAGGTTGAGGGTAAGATCACTTATTGCGGTCATGAGATGTCAGAAATAATTCCTCAACGTACCTGTGCTTATATCAGCCAGCACGACCTCCACCATGGAGAGATGACAGTGAGAGAGACATTCGACTTTGCCGTACGTGCTTTAGGTGTTGGAACTAGATACAAACTTCTCACAGAATTGTCCAGACGAGAAACTGATGCGGGAATTAAGCCTGATCCCGAGATAGATGCATTTATGAAAGCCACTGCTATAGCAGGCCAAGGATCCAGTTTGGTCACAGACTACGTGCTCAAGGTATATTTCCAGTTACACACTAATACTCTATGATTAGAAAATGAAGAATTTTTGTTAAACTGTTGAAGTTATTTATAGATACTTGGTTTGGAGTTATGTGCTGATATAGTGGTGGGTAATGAGATGATGAGGGGCATATCAGGGGGACAGAAGAAACGTGTTACCACAGGTGTGTTGCATGTGTAAATTTAGGTTACTGGATTAGCATTCAAGCTTTCTTTACTTCACAGCTTCCTAACCTTTTGACTAGTCTACACTATTCCCATTTAACTGCCAGTAGATTGATGTGTTGATCTTTTTATCATGTCAATGCACAGGAGAAATGCTGGTTGGTCCTGCAAAAGTTTTTTTCATGGATGAAATATCTACAGGTCTTGACAGCTCCACCACATTCCAAATTGTGAAATACATGAGGCAAATGGTCCATATAATGGATGTGACGATGATAATATCGCTTCTTCAACCCGCACCAGAAACATTTGAGCTTTTTGATGACATCATTTTGCTTTCAGAGGGACAAATAGTCTACCATGGTCCACGAGATAATGTTATAGACTTTTTTGAGTGTGTGGGATTTAAATGTCCAGAAAGGAAAGGAGTTGCTGACTTTCTACAAGAAGTAACATCTCTCAAGGACCAAGAACAGTATTGGTTTAGAAAAAATGAACCTTATCAATATATTTCAGTCACTGAATTTGCAGACCTATTTAGAAACTTTCATGTTGGGCACAAACTATATGATGAGCTCTCAGTTCCTTATGACAAGAGTAGAACCCATCCTGCAGCACTAGAAACTAAGAATTATGGTATTTCCAATATGGAACTCTTCAAGGCATGCTTATCTAGGGAATGGCTGCTGATGAAACGCAACTCTCTCCTGTACATATTCAAGACATTCCAGATTACTATAATGTCAATAATTGCTTTTACAGTGTTCTTTAGGAGCAAGATGAAATCTGGGACGGTTGGAAATGGAGGAAAGTTTTATGGAGCTCTGTTTTTTAGTCTCCTCAACGTGATGTTTAATGGTACAGCAGAGCTTGCACTGACCATGTTCAGGCTTCCTGTTTTCTTCAAACAGAGGGATTCTTTATTTTTCCCTGCTTGGGCTTTTGCACTCCCAATTTGGCTAATGAGAATGCCCCTCTCATTTATGGAATCATTCATATGGGTTATTCTTACTTACTACACCATTGGCTTTGCTCCTGCTGCTAGTAGGTATGCATTTAATACTAAAGATAAACCAAACGCTTTCATGCTCAGACAGTTTCATTTCCTTTTAAAACTTCAGTATATTCATCGGGAGAACTACCAAATAAGCCCTCGAACTTACAAACAAAGTGCAAATCACCCCTTATATAAGAGGCTTTGTCCGGCCGTCGCCATTTGGGGCGGTTCCCGGTGGAATTTTTTGATGAATTTTTTTGAGCATCTTATTCATTAAGTATAGTTTACTCATACCAAATCTCAGCTAAACATTCAATCGGGAAGGCAGTCAAATGAATTTTTGAAGATAACTGCGCAGTATATTTCAGAAAATCATTTGACTGCCTTCCCGGTTGAATTTTTAGCTGAAATCTGGTATGAGTAAACTAGACTTAATGAATAAGATGTTCAAAACATTTCATCAAAAAATTCCACCGGGAACTGCCCCAAATGGCGACGGCCGGACAGAGACTCCTATATAAGGGGTGATTTGCATTTTTTTTGTAAGTTCGAGGGCTTATTTGGTAGTTCTCCATATATTCATCTGATCGAGGCACATATAATATTAACTAATTAATTAATTAGAATAACTTATTTCTTGTGCTCAACCCTGCTTACCTTCTCTTGTCCAACACTGTGGGCTAGGTCTCCACCACACTGTTAAAATCATCATGATCTGATAAACTATAGACCAAAGTAAAATATCTCAATTAGCTAATGACTGTATAGAGACATCCAAACATAGTCTGTCTGTCCCATAAAACTTTATCAAATTTCTTTTTTGGCCATCCCAAAAAATTGTCATTTCCATTTGAAGTATTAAATATAAGGCTAAAGTTTCTCTCTCCTCTGCACAAATCTCAAGCATACAATTTTGATTTTATCATGCTACGTGCAAGTCAACTTTGGCCAAGTTTTATTGGATGGAGGGAGTATTATACTGGTGCACTTTGCATTTATTCAGGGTATTTCGCCAATTCCTGGCCTTCTTCTCCTTACATCAGATGGCTTTGTCCCTTTTCCGTCTTATGGTGGCACTTGGAAGAATAGAAGTGGTAGCAACCACTTTGGTTACTTTCACTTTGCTGGTAGTATTTGTGCTTGGTGGTTTCATTGTTGCTAAAGGTAACATTTTGCCCTCATACATTATTTTCATGTTTGAGTGCATATTCTCTCAGCTCTTGTTTTAGATAATATCTCAATTACAAGATTTCTTTTTCCAAAATAATAAGCATCTCTACCCTGGATGTAGATGACCTGGAACCATGGATGAAGTGGGGATATTACATGTCTCCTATGTCTTATGGCCAGAACGCGATAGCTATCAATGAATTTCTTGATAAAAGATGGAGCTCTGTAAGGTTTTATAGTAGTTTGTGAAAATTAGTTATTCTTCTCACTTCAGAACCGATTTTTCCATCATTTATCACTTTAACATGCACTATTCTTGTGGTTTTTTTCAGCCCATTAACGATTCAAGGTTCCGTGAGCATACGGTAGGCAAGCTGCTTCTTAAGTCAAGGGGAATGTATGTAGATGACTACATGTATTGGATATGCATCATCGCCCTCTTAGGCTTCTCAGTTCTCTTCAATGTTTGCTTTGTCATTGCACTAACATACTTAAACCGTATGATACTATATCTTTTTCTTATTTGGCAGTACCACCATTCTAAAAATGAGTAATGTTTCACCAAGATACATTTTTTTAGGAAGTTGTAACGCTTAAAAGTGATTAGACTTATATTTTTAAATTTATTTGTTGGTTTAACAAGATTTATAATAATCATTTTTTTTATAAAATATGGAGGAATAACTAAAATTACCCTTTTTGGAATAGGAGTAAACAAACTGATTTAGATGTTTTCTTCTCAAACACAGCTATTCGAGGCTCCAAATCTATTATTTTGGATGAGGAAGACAATAATATTAAGACGAAAGGCCAATCAAACCCCTTTGGTGAAGCAGCAGCATACCAGGCTTCAGCATCTACACCTCCAACCTCTGAAGGTGGGGGACATCAAGTCCTATAAGTGTTATACCATTTTTCAATGGTCAAAGATCCTTTGGTATTCTAGAGAGATACATGCTAAAGTTTTAGAATTGTTGCCTTAACTATTAGTGCATAATCATCTCTTCAATGTCCTATTTTTAATGATTGCAGTAAGGCATTCTGAACAAAGCTCTAGCGTGGAACAAAATGCAGTGAAGATGAAGGGGATGGTGCTTCCTTTCCAACCGCTGTCTCTTGCATTCAACCATATCAATTACTATGTTGATATGCCAGCTGTAAGTATAGTTCTCAGAATGCAATTTCAGATTTTTGCCACTATATATTCAACATTGGCTTGACTTTTGAATTTAAACTTATGGTATATTCATCAGGAAATGCAAAAACAAGGAATCCAAGAGAGACGACTCCAATTGTTGAGAGATGTTAGTGGATCTTTCAGGCCAGGAGTTCTAACAGCATTGGTTGGTGTGAGTGGAGCTGGGAAGACTACTTTGATGGATGTCTTAGCAGGAAGAAAAACAGGTGGATATATCGAGGGATACATCAGCATTTCTGGTTTCCCCAAGAATCAATCAACTTTTGCTCGAATAAGCGGTTATTGTGAACAGAATGATATCCATTCTCCACATGTTACCGTATATGAATCTCTTATATATTCTTCCTGGTTGCGTCTTTCTCCAGATGTGAATAAGCAAAAAAGAAAGGTACTGCCCAAGTTGTCAATGTCTCAATGCAACTGTGCTTGTAGTTTACCATTTAGACACCCCTGAAGTAATGATCTTCATGTTTTCGCACAAAAGACTAGTTTTTCTCTCTTGGATTTCGTGCTAGTTTAAAGTAACCCTGTCTGCATATTTGCGCTTGGGGTGCCAGCTCAGCTCAATGGTGAGCAACTACCAATGCCGTTGGGGAGTTATGCTGAGATAGTACACAGAACATTCTTCGCCAAATTGTAAATATCTAAGTCATTCTGAGGTTTTCCCATTGACGGACGATCTAATGCTATTCCAATTCGCAAGCTGCTGTATTTTTCTTATATGAACCTGTTGTTTTGATAGAGAGAAACAGGGGCGGCCGAAGTGCAGGCAGGGGAAGCCGAGGCAGACCCAAGTCCCAGGCCCTTGTTGATCTACCGTAGGCGGGGATGGGCTTGAGCCCACCGTCCATGGGCTGGCTTAGTTATTTTCATTAATTCCTTTAGTTATTTCCTTTTCCATCATTTACAACGGAGCCAAAGATGCATTATTTTTTGGCTTGAGAATATGATGGAATAAAGCAAAATGGCTCACTAAACTGTCTGCGCTTCTTTGTTATGAAGCAGCAGTTAGTCCATGCAATTTTGGACGCGATTTTCACTATGGGTCATCCGGAAACAGTCTCTCTGTGCTTTAGTACGGGGTAAGACTGCGTACATCCGACCCCCCTTACCCCACCGCATTGTTTGTAATTGCGCAATGCAATTGCGCCTCATGGCGCGCCTCAGCTAATTCCTGGACTATGGCGTAAAAGGCATTGCATATGGCGCTGAGAGTGTGATGTACGCAATATTGCACTGAGGCGTACACAATATTAGATACGCAATAAGGCGCTCTGAGGCGTACGCAATAGGAGGTCAGGGTGTAAGGGTATTATTTGGGCCCACTCGGCCCACTTTTAAATTTTTATAATTGATCTTATGATCCCTATTTCAAACCAGTAGTTATTGATTGAATTTTTCAGTCAATCAATCTAATTAATTTAAATTTTCATATCTTAGATTTTTGTTTTGATAAATGATTCAGAATGTTTTGGTATTCTATGGTACTTTGAAGTTTGAACATGTTACTTTGCTTGGTCTCTTATGGTTTGTTTTAATATAACATTTGATGACTTTTGATGAATATGTTTATTTTTTATTATGTTTATATATATATATATATATATATATATATTACGCCTCAGCTATACGCCTCATTGCGCAATGAGGCTTACGCAATATATGCAATATTAAAAAAACGCCATGACTACGCAATTCGCAATTTCGAACCTTGCCCCACCGTAGGTGGGACCGTGGGAGCCTTTGCGGCACTGGGGTAAATGAAAATGATGATGAGTTATTTCCTTTTATTATGTTTCTCATTTTAATTATGCGTCCTAGTATGTTTTAATTAGGACTTCTATTCTTATTAGAATTAGAGGTTTCCTATTTCTACTTAGTTTCCTAGAATGGTTTAATTAGGACTTCTATTCTTATTAGAATTAGAGGTTTCCTATTCTATTTAATTTCCTAGTATGGTTTGATTAGGATTCCTATTCTTATTAAGACTTAGAGGGTTATTTAAATCCGTAAGGATGGCTATTGTAATCATCAATTAATAATATTGGAGTTTTAGCTTTAAGCTTGGGCAACGGTTGCTAACCGTTGATTATTTTATTTTCTGCTCTCATCAATTGGTCCGATCTGCCGGATCCCGTCCCGCCGGAATGAAGAGATCTCAGAACGATCGCTTGACAGAGATGGAGGCCGAGCAAGCCCGGATGGGGCGCGAGCAAACCTTAATCAATCAGATACCCGATGCGCAAAGACAGAAGTTGGAAGAGCTTGGCGCCTAGCTCGCAGAGACCGCAGCCTCTCTTGCTGAGATCGCGAAGGCCATGGTAACGCCGGAGAAGATGCCAACATCAGCCAGTGACAACGTCTCTTCCGCGCACGCCGTATCTGCACACTCAATCGACGGAGGATTGCTCAACACGACAACTACCCTGCTTCCCTCGTTCGACAGTGAAGACCCGATTGGGTTGTTGGCTAGGGTTGAGCAACGGTTTGAACTCAACGGAACCCTACCGGACAGAAAATTGGTAGCGGCTGTGGTTTCCATGGAAGGGGCTGCCCTCTATTGGGTAACCTGGCTAAGAGCACGCAAACCCGGAATGACTTGAGAGGAATTTGGGCAAGCTTTGGTGGCCAGATTCGACTCCCGATTTAAGGGGAACAAGTTTGAACGGCTGTCTAGCGCCAAACAGATTGGATCGGTGGAAGACTACAATACCCTGTTTGTTCAATTGGCCAGCCAAGTTCCGGGATTGTCAGATGATCATTAAATGGGATACTACATGAATGGACTAAAAGAATCAATCTGAAGCTCACTGCGCTTATTTCGTCCTGATAACATGGAAGAGGCCATGGAATTAGCTCGAGATGTGGAGCACAATATGTCAGTTCAGAGTGGAAGAAGAGGCGTTCCAAACTATAATTCTACATGGACACGTTCCAGCAGCTTTTCACGGCCAAGCATAGGTCCTCCGTTGACTGCAAGTGGCGGCAGCTCGTGCAATTGAAGTGGCAGCCTCATGAGGGTCACCGGGCAGGTTGCGGGGTCCACTTCTGGGCTGTCCGGAGAGTCCACCGCACGTTCCAGGTTCACCAGGCTTCCTCCAAAGGTGTTAGAAGAGCTGCGGGCCAAGGGGTTATGCTTCAAGTGCCGGAAACCTTTCACACGAGGGCATGATGCCCTTTTAAACAATTGAAGTGGATGCTAGCTGAAGAGGATGAAGAATTTGACCCGCAACAACATGACTATTGCGAAATAACAGGGCAGGAGTTTCTGGAGGACAACGACAGACCCGAAGGCGATGACGGTGATTTTCCAGTCTATGCTATGGCTGGAATTTTCAGCCCTCAAATAATGAGGCTTCGAGGAGTAATTGAAGGGTACACGGTGACGATATTGATAGATAATGGCGCCAGCCACAATTTTGTGTCCTCGTCATTAGTATCATTGCTACGCCTAAACCCGGATAAAACGGGAAGATTCAGGGTCCAGTTGGGAGATGGACACAGACAAGAGTCAGAAGAGGTGTGTCGGCAGCTTCATGTGACCTTACCAAGATGTGCTGTTAAAACAGACTGCTATGTGTTCCCATTGGCCGGGGTTGACATTATACTGGGAGTGGCATGGCTGGCCACATTGGGAGAAGTGCGAACCAACTGGAAGAACTTAACCATGCGGTTCAAGCTTGATGGTAGGCAGATAGAACTGAGAGGCGATCCAACAATGTGTAGAAACGCGGTCAGTCTGCCCACGCTACTAAAAACCACATATATAGAGTTGTGTGACGTGGTCCTAGTCAGTGAACCCGCTAAACTTTCTGGGACAGCCTCGGGAACAGTAGAAGACATCCTTGGGCAGCATACCGAGGTCGTCGAGGAGCTGCAAGGGCTTCAACCTCGCCGCGCGACGGACCTCTGCCTCGAGCTAGTTCACGGAACGAAGGACAAGATCGAGAGACTGGTATTCGGCACTGTAGTTTTGTTGCTCAAAAGGAAAGATGGCAACTGGCAAATTTGTGTGGATTACAGGGACCTTAACAAATCTACAGTGCCAGATAAATATCTGATTCCGGTGATACAAGAGATGCTAGATGAGTTGGCTGGAGCCATGGTCTTCTCCAAAATAGACTTGCACTCCGGGTACCATCAGATCAAGGTTGCCGGTCCTGACGTCCATAAGACTGCTTTCTTGGTACTCATAACGAGCATTATGAATTTTTAGTTATGCCATTCAGACTGACAAAAGCCCCAGCCACTTTCCAAGCAGCTATGAATAATTTGTTTTGACCTTACTTGCGGAAATTTGTGCGGGTATTTTTTGATGATATCTTAGAATACAGCCGATCATGGGCTGAACATTGAGAACCACTGGACTTAGTCTTAAGCCTCCTAGGGAAGAATCCGTTCAAAGCTAATATGAAGAAATGTGCATTCGGGCGACCGCATGTCGAGTATTTGGGGCACATTATTTCTCAGGCCGGAGTAGCCACAGATCCTTCTAAAGTTAGCACAGTGGTGGATTGGCCACAACCAGGTTCCGTTCGTGAGGTTCGGGGATTTCTGGGACTGACAGGATATTACAAGAGATATGTGAGGGAATATGGGCAGATTGCACATCCGCTCACTAATCTTTTGAAGAAAGAAGCATTAGCTCAGTTTCACCAGTCTCAAGAAGCCGAAGAAGCATTCCAACGTCTCAAGAGGGCGTTAACAGAAGCATTGGTGTTAGCCATGCCCCAGTTTGAACGCCAGTTTGTGGTAGAATGTGATGCATCGGGAATCGGATTTGGAGCGGTACTTATGCAAGAGTGGTGGCCTATTGCTTATTTTAGCAAATCATTAACAAACATAACACTTTCCAGATCAGCGTACAAGAGGGAGATGATGGGATTAGCGTTGGCAGCCGTATCTGATTAGGCGTAAATTTGTAGTGCGCACAGATCATCGTAGCCTCAGGCATCTGCTCACTCATGGTATAACGACTCCCTCCCAGTAGGTTTGGGTGGCAAAATTATTGGGGTATGATTTTGAGATTGAATACAAGACATGTATATCTAATGCAGCAGCAGACGCCCTGTCACGAAGAAGAGAAGAGTTGGAGCTAGCGGCGGTTAGCATGCCAGAGTGGATGGGTCTGACTGACATTGAAGAGGAACAATAGAGGGATAAATTTTTGCAGGGAATTATGCAGGCACTGATGACCGACCCGGATAGTGTACCGGGCTATGAAGTGATTGGGAGACGGCTGTTTTTCAAATGCCGTTTGGTGCTGGCTGCTGATTCTAAATGGATTGCTCGTCTGATGGAGGAATTGCATGACATTCCTGCAGGAGGGCACACGGGCGCTACCGGAAGTACATGAGGCTAGCAATGAACGTGTTCTGGAAGGAGATGTTCCGCCAAGTGCAAGCCTACATTGCACAGTGTTTGGTATGTCAAAAGGCAATGTCGCCGGCTGGAGTGCTGCAGCCCTTACCTATTTCCAGCTTGATTTGGGAAGATATTTCCATGGATTTCATCACTTGCTTGCCCAAGTCGAAGGGGTACACATCTATCTTAGGGCATTTCATAGCCCTAAAAGCTCCGATCACAGCTCGTTCAGTGGCTGATGTTTTTTCCAGAGAAGTAGTTCGGTTGCACGACATCCCAAGCTCAATTGTTAGTGACCAGGACTCCTTATTTATCAGTGCATTTTGGAAGGAGTTGTTTTCCTTGTCAGGAACGCAGTTAAAATTTAGCTCAGCGTATCACCCGGAGAAATATGGCCAAACAGAGGTGTTGAATCGAGTTTTAGAAACATATTTGCGTTGCTTTACTTGTGAGCAGCCAGTACAATGGACAAGGTTGCTGTCTTGGGCTGAATATTGGTATAATACCACGTTCCAGACTGCAGCAAGGATCTCACCATTGGAGGTGGTGTATGCCTGGCCACCTCCTACTATTCGGCGGTATTTTCCAGGAGAAAGCAAGGTGGCAGCCATGGCGGAAGAGCTGGGCAGCAGGGATATTATGCTGATTCGACTAAAAGCGAGTTTACAGAAAGCACAACAGCGCATGATAAGTCAAGCCAATAAACACCGTCGCAATGTGGAATTCCAGGTTGGGGATAAGGTGTTTCTGAAGGTCAGGCCTCATCAGCAAACCACTTTATTCCTCCAGCATTACAATAAGTTGTCTGCTAAATTCTATAAGCCATTCTTCATTGAAGCATGCGATAAGTTGTCTTCCGACAGCCTATCGCCTAACGTTATCATCTACCAGCCGTATCCATCCGGTCTTTCATGTATCTCAATTACGAAAGGTAGTGGGAGATAATCCGATAGAGTGAGTTGCCGGAAAGTTTAGTACTGCCTGTGGGTCCAGTGTTCGAGCCTGAAGAGGTGCTAGCCAGCAGAAAGAAAAATGCTAAGGAGGAAGAGCTATTAATCAAGTGGGCAGGGCTGCCTAGTGACGATGCTACTTGGATGGATAGAACAAGCTTCGTGGGACTGTTTCCATATTTCAACCTTGAGGACAAGGTTCTTTCAAAGGAGGATGAAGTTGGCGGAGAGCAAACAGGCGAGGCCGAAGAGCAGGTAGGGGCGGCCGATTCAGACCCAAGCCCCAGGCCCTTGTTGATCTACCGTAGGTGGGGACGGGCTTGAGCCCACCTTCTGTGGGCTGGCTTAGTTATTTTAATTAATTCCTTTAGTGATTTCCTTTTATTATGTTTCTTATTTTAATTATGTGTCTTAGTATGTTTTAATCAGGACTTCTATTCTTATTAGAATTAGAGGTTTCCTATTTCTACTTAGATTCCTAGAATGGTTTAGTTAGGACTTCTATTCTTATTAGAATTAGAGGTTTCCTATTCTATTTAGTTTCCTAGTATGGTTTAATTAGGATTCCTATTCTTATTAAGACTTAGAGGGTTATTTAAACCCCTAAGGAGGGCTATTGGAATCTTCAATTAATAATATTGGAGTTTTAGCTTTAAGCTTGAGCAACGGTTGCTAACCGTTGATTTTTTTATTTTTTATTTTTATTTTCTGCTCTCATCATGTTTGTATATTAGTCTGTCAAATAGCGATGCTATTCCAAATCAAAGTACTCCTCCTGCCTTTTTCAAGAGGGTTAATCTTTACAGTCTTAAAACACAACAACAAGGTAAGTAATAACCTACATATGAATCAAGAGTAAAGAAGATCCCTGAAATTATGCTCAAACCTAGATCCAGAATCCATGATAACGATTTCCCAATTTAGTCCCCAGTTTCTTTGATTACATTTCCATTCTTTCCATCATTGTGCAATTAAAGTGATGAAAGCTCAGGTGTTTGAAATTGATAGTCACCATTAGCCTCATTTTTTAAGAAGCCAGGAATATGGAATTATCTTTTGCGGGGGATGGGGTGGGGGTGGGGGTGGGGGGAGATATTATTTTCCATACTGATCAAACATAAGAATTTTTTCAAAATAATTTTAAAAGAATTATTCATACCCATAGTACACTATATGAACTAACAACTGGTGAAAACAAGAATAACTAGCACTCCATCGTATAAAAATAGTTATATTTCAAACATTTATCTGTATAGATTATAGAAAACAGATTAGTTTTTATCACTCTTAGAAAATTTGTCAACAAGTTTACCAGAAAAAACAGAATAAAAACAAATCTAGTTCATTAAATTTTGTTAAACTATCAATGGAATTTCTAAATTAGAAGCCTCACATGACTCTATTAGAAAAGTCTAATTGTTACCTTATAACAATTGTATGTCATCAAAAAGAAGAATACATCCATTAACCACAGGACTCTTTATATGGGATGGGGTGCACATTATTTATCCATCATCGAATCAGCATATTTTGTTTGGTTGTTGCTGGTTGTAAGTCCCGTTGGAGATTATCGCAGTTTTGTATTTATTTGAAATAAATTCTCACAAAAAGCAAAATGGGGTAAAGATTTATTATCTTTCTTTTCCATCTAGATGTTCATTGAGGAAGTGATAGAGCTGGTTGAGTTGAACCCCTTGATTAATTCTCTAGTTGGACTCCCTGGTGTGGATGGTCTCTCAACAGAGCAGAGGAAAAGGTTGACAATAGCCGTGGAACTTGTTGCTAACCCATCCATCATCTTCATGGATGAACCCACATCAGGTCTGGATGCTAGAGCTGCTGCCATTGTAATGCGGACCGTGCGAAACACTGTGGATACGGGACGGACCGTTGTGTGTACTATTCACCAACCCAGCATAGATATCTTTGAAGCATTTGATGAGGTAGTCGATTGTTGCAATGTTTCAGTACTTTTAATTCCAGTGTTCTTATGTGTC